TAGACATTACAGATAAAAGTTACCATATTTTTTTTTTTTACCTGTACATCTAAATCACACAAATCAATGTAAGTCAGTAACTTCGATCATTTAAAACTTTGTTAACCCTAATTTTGTTATTATTTTATCATTTTTATTAGTTGACAATGTAAAATAATGCGTTAATTAAACATGTATTTTAAATAACAATGAATAAATATCACCACTGTTTATCTTGTAGTGTTCTCATACAAACGATGTGCAACACCATTTTTTTTTTTTAGTCAGCGATTCGAGGGTGAAAAACGGGCGACAAGCGCGAAAATGATGTGGCACCTCGATTCGTAAGAGAATTTTGCGAAAAAATACAACTAGACCATTTATTTTTACATTTAAGATAATGTTCTAATAATAATTTGTATAAACCCAGATTTTGAAGATGGAAACAAAATTTCAAAAAAATCTTCATTGAGCCATCACACTGAGTATTACATACTAGTTACCTCATCTATTTCAGAAACACCCTGTATATAAATTAATAGTAGAGTACATAACATTATAATATACCTAGTATAATACATTTTATGTGTAGTAATAAAATACAACATAAACTAGGTATGCAAAATATGGAATTTAGTTAATAGTTATTGTGAATAAGTAATACCTACCTAATCTACTTATATAGTTTTTTATAGTTCAATACCTATTAGTTTTTGGAAATATAAAATATACATCAAATAATTCAAACAAAGAAAATACTTAAATTGTTAGTTGTGAATCACCCCATATAATAATTTATTTATTTATTATTATAATAATAGGATTTTAGTAATAAAAAAACTAATTTTCATATTTAGGTCACACACACACTACTGTCTACTTAGGCATACTAAACACAATAATATAATTGCATTTATTTTTTACGTTAATAAGATTAATAATTTTAAAAAAAAAGCTTCCTCTAATGGAAATTGACGACCATGGAAAATAACGACCAAAGGGCAAAAAAATACAATTTAATTAAAATTTAATAGGTACATAAAAATAAAATGTCTTAACAGATCAATTATTGAGATATGAATAAGAATGAATGGAACTCATAAAAATATGACGTCCATGCATTTGTACGGTTTAAATCACTTAGGCATTATATATTACAAGAATTAAATAAATTGGAACCCTTCCTCAATCTTTAAAATAAGGAACGGGATAGGTTATAAAACTTAATTTAAATAACATAATATATGTTGTAAAATCGCTTCAACGGTAATCGTTGACCAATAAGGCAATAAGAATTAAACGAACAAAACGAAACTATTCACCTTCGGAAGGTTCAAAGTAATATATCTACACAAGTCATATTGTAAACAATATGAAGAGGGAATAATTTCAATAAAACATACAACTCATGCGATATATGGTAGGAATATAAACTAGATGATTGTGATTAAAAAAATTGGTATATTCAAAAGACAGTTATATAAAATTATGTGCATCCATGTTCAATATATACATATATTATGTTGTATACATATTGAATTCGTATACCAGCGTGATATCTTTAATTCCCCAGGGTACTTGCTATATAGGAGAAAAAAACAAGAATTTCTTGTCTTACGTCATTAATATTATGCAATTTCATTCAAAACGCGGCAAGAAGGTCGTATACATACTTTGGCACCTAGTAAAACTGAATTATACAACAGAGAACATATATTTAGCACAAATAGTTGGTTTTAACTTGTACAATATCTACCAACAATGTCGGTGGGATATCTATAAAATATTGTAAAAATATATTATACAGGTAAAGTTTATTAACGTAAGACACTGCTTTTGAAAATATTTTTACCTACTTCATTCATGTAAGTTGTTACAAAACGACATTTAAGAAAAAAAATGTTCATGGTTTAAATTTGTATAAGTTTGTTCCTTTTTTAAATATCGATAAACATTTTTAATTTCATACCCTGTAGTGGAATATTTTCTGAGTATTTCAATCAACAGAAATCGTATTTCGAGTACCGAGTTAATTAGATATACCTAACATAAAAGTATTTAAAGTTTAGATGAGCTGAGTGCCACTGGGGAACCTAAAATTATTCTGCTTCGAAGTATGAAATGACAACATGCACCATAATGTTATTCAAAAATTACAAAATTAAAAATTGATTATGATACAAAATAGTAAAAATATATTTTTTTTTTCAAAAACGTTAAAATAATCACACTGTGTAACGAGTACCTAGATAGTAGATTATTGTCTTCATTGTTTAGTCCAATAAACCAACCTAACCAAAATCGTCATAATATATTAATTTCCATTATAAACTATACTGCGGTAGAATTAAAATGATGATAGTGTTTTTTTCTAGTTGGAAGTCAAACATTTTCTACTTCTAAGTTTTTATGACAGGTTAGTGGTTAGTGCTCTATTTTTGCTCTCCACAGACGTATCCAACGTGTGGGCTTTTCATGCTCACATACATAATACACACATAGTGATTTACAAACAACTAATTATGAATAAATAATGTACACGTTTAACTGCCAAACATGTGATGTGTCATTGTGTGAGTGCGGTAGTATACTTTGTCATATGGTCACCACAATCATGAAGAACAAATATTGCACACATGGATATGAGAAATTAACAACCGATTTCCCTCTTGGCGTTTGACTCTATACAATGTAGTTGGTAGCGGGGGGCTGCCCAATAAGTAACAAAAAAACATGTTGCTTTAGCATAATATATTAATATTATACGTATATTATATATTTTAGTATTTTACAGCTATAGAAATATTATTGTCATAAAATAAAACCAATAATATTTTACGTAGTTCTTAGATATGTGCTATAGTAATAATAAGGTTTTATTATTTTATACCCGGGTATATAAGTTTCCCCAAATTGAAAATTGAATTAAAAAGTATTTTTCCAAACATTTCATAATTTTTGTAAGGCATTTTTCATCACTAAATAATTGTTATAAGTAATTTGTTAAATTCTGTAGGTATTTTTAAAAACATTTATTTAAAAAAACAATAGATAGGAACCATTTAAAAAAACCTGTTACGAACTGTTCTTATATCTAATATCGAATATATATGTATATTATATATTATATATATTTCAGTAGATGAATCGTGAGTGTATTGACATAATATTTTCGAGATGAGAAAAGTGAAATTTATAATTCAAGGACAAACAAAACAATTTGATAAATATCTAATTGTAATTACTTATTAGTAAATTAATAGTATACCGAATTAAGTAATATAATATATTATTTATGTAAAACAGAAACGATCGGTGAAACGTGGTATATGTCTACAATTTAAAATATTACAATAATTCAAGTTAACATTAATATTAACTCGAAAAAATTAATATAATACGAATTATATATTATTCAATCAAAATACGATAAAATAGTATTTATTATTTCGTGATAATAATATTATAATAGACACACACACACTACACACAATTTGTTGAGGTATTTAATAATTACATTTCAAACCGTTATTGTACAATAAAAATGTTAGCTGTGATCAAAATAGGTAGATATGTAAATATAATGTAAATATAATATTGTTAGCCAGTGAGACTGCCTCTGGCTTGACGGAGGCTTAATCCCAATCCACACAGTTACGACACAAAATGTACGCGTTTGGCCTAGGTATTAAGTATTAAGTTAATGTCTGTTGATGTTAAGTAAATTGTTGTTTATTACTTATTTATTACTTATTAGTTATTAACCAAAAACTAAGCAATTGATCAAATTATTTTATTTTATTATATCAAATTAATTCCCAAACACCATCCTATTCTACAAGACTGCAATGTTTCATTATTATTATTTTTTGTAGGTAATAACGGTAAGTCATATTCTACTTGAGACAGTAATTGAGTTGTAATTCAGAGATGTTACTACCTAGCGTCTAAAAATACACTATTATTTATTCAAACTGCAAATCATTCGACAAATGTATTTACGTCATTAAATATACAAAATAAAATAAATGTATAATAGAAATCAAGTTTTGAGCCCTTGCCTTATCTCGCTCAGGTTCAGCATAGGATATCGTGGTCATACAATCAAATGTCATTTGACAAAACGTGATTTAATATTCTTAAAAACCAAAAGTTAAACATATTTTAAAACCGTTCTATTTCCTTGATATTAATAATGTAGGTACGAACATTTTTAATAAACATAATAGTGTGTACATACATTGTGTTCACCATTAAGTTTTCAACTTCCAAACTGTATGTAAATAGGAAGTGATTCTGTCGAACATTATTAGATGATTTTATTTTTAAATCATTTTACATTTCGATTTGTTATTACTCTTATAATACATTTGTTAGGTATTTGGTTCTAATGCAAAAATAAGAAAATTCAATTCCATAAAAAAACTTATTATGTTTTATTTTTCCAACACCCCCTTATCAACACTATGACCGCTCAGTGGATGATTTTTTATGGAACTACGAAAAACAAACGAATTACGTTATCTGTAACCAGCGCATGACGGTTTCCGTTCAACACATCACATCCAACGTTATCGCAGTTATCACGATTATCAATAACAATAACAATAACAGCAATAATAATCATAATAATAATAATAAAAACGATAATAATATTAATTATTAATACAATATTATCTCAACGTCTCGAAAACATCACTTCCGAAAACATTCAAAATGATGAGATTGATAGTCGATAGATACCCAGTAGCACAGTGGCTACCCAATGTTACATTGTGCATACCCACACACACACACACACACGACTCTGCGCGATCTTATTTGACTGACTTTCCTTTTACGAACTATTCGCCACGAGGCAAAAGAAAATAATTTAAAAAGAACTAGTGCTCGACAAAACTTCACTCACCCAATCACCGTACCACCCAACCACCAACCCCCTCACCCACACTTCAACCACGGCTTTTGTAGGACTAATGAAACTAAACTTTATTAGTAGACAACGAATGGAAACAACACAACTAGGTACTCACTTGGATGGAATCGGCCGACACGACTTCGCCTCCCAGCTCCAGGGCTAGTCTCACACCGAGTTTCGTTTTCCCCGTGCCCGTGCACCCAACAACGGCGAACAGCGGTAGGTCCTTCAGGTTCTTCGAATCCATCTCCCGGCGGTCGAGGCGAAACGGACGACGAGTACGACACGGCGACGATGTCGGCGCGAATCCCGAATTTTGGGCCGCGGCGGCGGTAAGCGCGACGTAATTATTGCGTTTCGGATTCACGAAAACCTTTTTCCAAAACATAACATAACCTCAAACACGTGCAATGTCGTTATCGTTTCGCATCGTTATCACGGACGTCTGGCTCGGCGGCGGACGGCAGTACGGTTCGATGGGATGCGCTCTGTTCGGTTTCGCCGGACGTTAAGTTGGCAGCCTGCTCCGACGCCGCCGTCGAACGGCCGGTCACGCACTCGCGCGCTCCCCCCACAATTCACCGCTCGAATTTACAGTGACCCCACCGCCGCCGTTCGGTTCCCGCGCAATCCGCTAGCCGCAGTCTACACTCTATATGCGCCCTGCCGCCTTATGTTTTATTCAAATCACTTGCGGTCCGAGATTTTTAAATTAAGGGTATAATATTATGTTAGTACGCTCTTCGTAGAAACCACTTTCTCACTCACTAACACACACTCTCCACTCTCTCTCACTCTCTCTCTCTCTCTCTCTCTCACCCTATCTCGTTGGTCCAAGGGTCGACATGATATTATCGTTGTTATTATTTAAGTCTCAGATATTATGCCTATAAATATTTACCGTAGACATACAAACGCCGCCAGGACCCGCAGCCGTCCGCACAACAATAATATAATATACGGTTCTCCGAACGGTCATGACGTGCACACAGAAATTATTTACACGTAAATACTTTTGTGGAATTTAAATTAACAATTGTTAGTGGCCGTCAAGAAATATTCTCCTCCGATATAATTCACACGCGCGGCTCCCCTGTATTGTGAAGTTGTAACTATATACCTAGACAGTTGTAGTATAATATAATATTATAAAAACGAGTAATAATAATAAATTCGTACGAACTCTAAACGAACTACAAGGTGATCGTTGTATTCAACATTTATAACCGACTAAGTGCCTATATGATTTTGATTGATTTATTATTTGTTCACTTATTCAGTTATTCATATCTATATTAATTTTATACCTACACAAATACACAATATCCTTCTGGATTATTGTATATTTGAATATTTCATTGTTTAAATAAAAATATAATTACTTATTTTAAGTCATTTTTTCAAATATAATATATAATTTGTACATACTATTGTAATAATTAGGGCTGTAAATTTGTAGGAAAGACCATTATTTTTTGGTGATTGTGAAACATAGCTTTATAAGTATATAATTTGAACTATGTACCTAACTATACGAGTCCATTTATGAACCTCTTATTTTCCATTTTTTATTCATTTTTAGGTCATATTTTCCTTTTTTAGTTAATTAATAGTAAAGACTACAGATGAATACAGGCCGCAATTAAATATATTTTAGTTTGTTTTATTATTTTAACAAAATAAATACATAAGAAAAATTTTAAAAAGGTGGGTAAGTGGATGTCGCTCTGCTGTAGAGTAGGTTACAAGCAGGGGTGGATTGGCCTATCGGGAAATCGGGAATCGGTTCTTGTGAGGGCCTGCAGGGCCGCTATAATTATTACAATATAATTACAAAAAAAATTAAATGTTTATATATTAAGCATAAAATATATTAAAAATCAAATACCTACGAAGGTATTATTTTTAATATCTTAAACTATTGCAATTCATAGTAGGAATTTTGGTATTTACATCACTATTATCCCTCCAATTCATACTAATGTATTATTTAGAAATCTGTGGTATTGGTATTTTATTATTTATATTTTATACTCTATGGTAGAATTTAGTTACGTGATAACATGGATAACCTTATCTTATCATTATTTGTATTTTTTATTTTTTGTTTTTTTATTTTTTTTTTTTTTATTTTGAGCTATTTACACAAACGAGTTACTGTACTTATAGAAGTGTGTTTAGTGTACAAATTCAATTGAACTGTGCAATTTAAATTATGTGTGATGCTGGTGAAAAACGAAAGAAGGGTGGAGCTGAAAAGGTACGAGAAAAAAAGAAAAAAGGTTAATGGAACCTATTTACCTGGAAAATTGTTTTAAATTTTCAATCCTTATAGCTATACATGTTGAACATTTTATAAATTTTTAACAACAAAATAATTATTAAATTTTGATAAATCTTGTCAAAATTCGAGATTTAATTGCTTATGAAAAAAATGTATGGCTATGTATATTTAATATTTTTCAACTGATATTGTAACAATATATCAGGAGCCTTGTATTCAATTTTCAGGCTATTTGCCCCAACAAATACAATTTTATTGGTATTTATAGAAAAAAAAAACTAAAAAAATTAAAATTTGAAATGGTCCGTTAAAACATCAAAAAGAGATAATTATTTTCAAAATTGTATGGTGTATACAAAATGCTAATATAAATATTCAGTGAAATTTTCAAGTATCTACATTTTACAGTCTTCGATTTTTAATCACAAAAAATTAAGAAAATCATTGCATGAGAAATCGAAAGAATATCAAATGTTGTAAAAATTTAAATTTCAGCAGATCATAAAAATGTAATTTGACTTTCTTGTTGACATTTTTTTTTTGATAAAGGTAGACAAACTTATGAGGAATTTTGTATTAAAAATGTGTTTTAAAATTTGTTTACGAATTTATAACTCAAAATAATTTGCAAACTTTCGTCATTTTTACGTATTTTGTCAATATATGAACTTCTATAACAAAATAATTTCTATTTTTGAACTTCTAGCTTATAGAAAAAAATTGTGACTGGATTTTTAATGTTTTTCATCTGCTTTTGAAATAATATACTAGGAGCTTTTTATTACATTTTCAAGCTTTATAACCAACAAATAAAATTGTATTGATATTTATAGAAAAAAAAACTGAAAATGTCCGTAAACAGCTCAAAGTAAGTCAAAATGTTATGGTGTATAGAAAATACTAATATAAACATTCGGTCAACATTTCGTGTACCTATATAGTCATATTTATTTTGGAGTTGCTTCAAAAACCAAAATCGATTTTCTCGAAAACAGATTTTGCGTAAAAATTCCACGATTTACTTAATTTTTATTTTGTTTTTCACGGCACTTTTGAAAACCACCAGGACATTTTTATTTTTGACCCCCCAAAGTAAAAACTTAACTTACCTATCAGAAAAGTGAATCTAGTTGAAGAAAATCTAAGTATTCACTATTTTTACTGTCCTAAAATTTGATGACAGACGCAAAAATAAAAAATTAAAAAATTAAAAAAAAACACATCATTGTAAAAATCAATACATTCATCACTTCGCTCAGAATCTAAAATGTAATAAGATCAAACTTCAAGTTCGAGTTAGAACAGTCTGAACAGGTTAACCTCATCTGACTAACCCTAAACTGTTATAACTTTAATTATAGGTACCTATTATATATTTTACTAATTTATGGGTGAAACTAAACAAATTTTGAAATGTGAGTAAAATGATGAAAATTTTTTTTTTGGTGGGGGGCTACATTTGCAGTGCAGCGCCGGTTTGATCCATATTTCCCAGCCCGAAAAAATTCGCCAATCCACCCCTGGTTACAAGTGGGTCACTGTATAAGGGATGCTATTAAATTTGAATTCAATGATACAATATCATTGTATAAGAAAAACGATTCTGAGCGAAAACGGTATGTCAGTCTAGGTTTATGACAAATTATATACATATCTATAGTATTAAAAAAAAAATTGACCTATATTAAATTCCAAATTAATCATATCACATTATCACAATATCCATTAGGTACTTATAACACGTTATACATCAACATCAATAACAAACCCTGATACTATCATAGATATATAATAGTACCTACACTTTAGAAGTTTCAAGTAGGTACCCACGAATAATATTATATAATCACAACAAAATAACTAGGTTTTTTAATATGTAATTTCGTCCAAATTTGAACATAAAATGACTATAAAAATAAACTGTGATTGTATATTTTTTAGATTTTTCGGTAAGAGAATTAACTACTTTCGTGGAACCTTGTTTTAAATTTTCAATCCTTAGCTATAAAAACTGAACATTCTATAATTTATTAATTACGATGATTAATAATTTTCGAGATTTTGAAAAATTCTGTCAAAATTCGATGTTTAAATGCTTATAAAAAAAAATTGTGCATATGTATTTTTAATATTTTTCAACTGATATTGTAACAATATATCAGGAGCCTTGTATTAAATTTTTACACTTTTGGGCCCAACAGACAAAACTTTATTGATATTCATAGAAAAAAAAACTAAAAAAATTGAAAAATGAAAATATCCGTAAACAGCTCAAAAAGAGTCAAAATATTTTCAAAATTGTATGGTGTATAGGAAATGCTAATATAAACATTCTGTGAAATTTTCATGTATCAATAGTTATTCGTTTATGAATAACAACAAAATAAGGAAATCGCTACATGAGAAATCGAGTGAACATCCAATGTTGTAAAAATTTGAATTTCAAACGCTCATAAAAATTTAATTTGACTGTCCGGTAGAGATTTTTTTATTGATAAAGGTAGACAAACTTATGAGTAATCTTGTATTACATTTTCAAATCTTAGATTTAAAAAGAAAAATTTTTACGAATTCTTAACTCAAAATAATTTGCTAATTTTCGTGATTTTTCCATATTTTGTCAATTTTTGAACTTTAAATGCTTATAAAAAAAAACTGTGACTAACGATTTTTAATATTTTTCATCTGCCTTTGAAACAATATACTAGGAGCCTTCTATTAAATTTTCAAGTTCTTTAACCAACAAATAAAATTTTATTGATATTTCTAGAAAAAAACTAAAAAAAAATGAAAAATGAAAATGTCCCTAAACAGTTCAAAATAAATCAAAAATATTTTAAACTGTTATCGTGTATAGAATATGCAAATATAAACACCCTGAAATTTCAGTGTATCTCCGGTCATTGGTTTAAAGTTACACCAAAAAACCAAATTCAATTTCTGAAAATCGATTTTGCGTAAAAAATTCCAGTTTTTCCTTACTTTTTCTTTTGTTACTTTCGCTTTTTAAAAGTACTTGGAATTTAACTTGTGACTCCCTCAATGCACCAACGCTATTCACTTTCCATTCGAACAAGATCCTGAAGTCGACAATCGACGCAGCA